AAGTGATTTTAACTGCAATGCAGCAATCAAACTGGCAAAATGGCAAAATGAAGGTGGAAATGAGAATGTTCTATAGATAACAACAGCTGTGGGACTTAGAAGAGGATACAAGCCACTGGCCTAAGTGGGAGAATTTATAACAGGAGATGTACTGGGATTTGAAAGAAACTATAGCAGTGATGGAAAGACAAATGAGACAATGCCATCAGAATGCAAACGGGAACACTCATCACAGGGAGATATTCCATACTTACAGCACAAACAGCAAGAGAGGCCAAATAGATTGGAAAGTTGGGAAGCGAAGAGATCAAGCAGCAGGCTTAAACAAACAGAAGAGAATACTTTTCCCTCAAAGCACATAATTCAATTCAGAAACTTGTTGCCACAGGTTATTGTGAAAGCTAAGATGATAAATGTTTTGAAATGGGACTGGACAAGCAGGTGGAAGATAAATACATTATAATCCAAAGGAAAGGTGCAGTGGGACCTTTGGTCTTACACATTGTAGGAGATCTTCTGTTTGAAAGTACATTTCAAATTATTAATGAGGATGTAACTCAGTCTTTCCGTTGCCTTTATTTGCAAAAAATAGCTTGTCTAAGAAAAAAATACAAAAGAATTCAGAGGCTGAGGCCAAGAGAATATGTCATGCCATTTTTTTACTCTCCAGAGACACCGAGTTACTGGCCCAATTGCTTCCTACTGCATGTCTAATTGTGAAGAACTGCCTTGACCATCCACAGCTGCTGATTCATGTTAATTTCCATATTGCTGGGATAGATAATTGATACATGACACATTATAGCTCTGAATATTTCAATTAATTGAATGCATGTCTTCAGCTTGGAAAATCAGGATATTTCACCAAGGTACTTTATGTCAAATAGGTCTGCAAATTATCAAATGCTGCTGTTTCCATTACGAAGATTTCCTGATGATGTGAACTTCTGTCACCCACTCAGTGTGATGTTGAACTAAGTCTTCAGCAGTGACATCCAGAGGTTATGAACTACTGCTACAGAGATAACAGCTGTGCCTTCAGTTTGATGATGATGGACCAATTCCTTTCTCAACTCCAGCTAAATCAACGCAGTTATTACCTAAGCTTTGCAAGTAGAATCTATGTTTTCGGGTCGAACATCACGAGTTTGACAGTTAGCTCTGTTTACTGATGATTAATGACTAGTATTTGGACAAAGGTAAACAAAAATTCTTAATAAATTGGAAGAGAGTGAAAATTGCCTGGGGCCCATTACCAAAGAAAGGGTGTAACATATCTAGCCAGAATGTGCACTTTTAAAGCACTAAGCTTGCCAATTAGAATACAGAAATGACAACAGCTACAGGCATTAAAGCTTGTGGCTTTGTTACTGCATGAGACAAATGTTTGAGCAAACTACATGTCTTGCCTTTGTACTGCTGCCTGTAAACTCTGACTTTGGGCCCACCTTCCTGCTTCATGAAGTGTTTTCTTGACATTTATTATTAATAATAAAAGTTAAGAAAAATGAAAGTAGCAGCCGTATTGATTCAGCAAAGTAGCATGAGCATATTTAATAGCCCATGTCTTTTGCCTGATTCAAATATATTCAATTTCTCTGAAGTCTGATTTCTTTAATTACAGTACAAATCTAAAAAGACTTTTTATGTTATCAGATACTAATTATATTAGACAGATTGCAATTTATCTGCTTATAGCAATATTTATTTCCACTGCCAGCACTTACTTCCACTGCCAGCACTTAACATCAAAATAGTATTACCTCATCATCATTTACAGTGGGAAAAAAATACTACTTTTCTGTACAATTTTGTGTCTAGGTTAAAGGCCTAGTTAAAGCCATGGGAAACTCTTTGCTTGGTTTGTATAATTAATACGTATAAATACTTTGCTTACCTTTAATCTCTAATTATGATAAACTATACCTTCCATTTTTAGGCAAGCTTCTCTCTATGTTAAAGCTGTCTAAATCTGATTCTGAGTTAGGAAGATAACTTCAGAAATTGAAAGAATTAGTATACTGAGTACCACTGAGAGGGGGATTTCACAGGGGAAAAAGGGAATAGAAGCCAGATGAAACTTTTACAACTTTAATAAACAGAAAGACAGAAAATCTGTTGAAGTAGAAGTGAAAAAAGGAAAAAATGTAGAGGAAAACATGATATGGATAAGATAAGAAAAGAAAAGCTCTGAATCAGGTTACACTCCCCTGCCTTTGCAGAGGATACCTTCCATTGACGTCCCTTGCCTTCTCACACAAGCTTGCGTGGAAAAGCTGAATCAGCCATAGCATCTCTCTAAACTTGGTCATGTGATTATCCTTCTTTCTCTCCATCACTGCAACTCCTCGAGGCTTGAGAGTTTCCTAGAAAAACTATTAGTTGTTTAACATCTGTGGAGCTGGACTTCCAGAGGCTCCATTAAGGCAGCGGCTACTAGTGCTCAGAGCAATTATGCCTTACTCCTTACAGATCTGGTAGGTCACTTTTCCTGGACTTTGTTTCCTCGATCTGCAATTTAAAAGAATCTCTTGTGAAGAGATTCTCTCCTCATGCAGATTCCTCCCCTCTCCTCTCCCACGTCTTTGTGAACATACCTCCCCTTATGTTAAATCTGCCATGTACTTGTATTAGAAACCTAACATTCAAGGTAAGGCGGCATACTTATATGATAAACCAGCTCTGACAAAGGAGTAGGACCAAAAAAAAAAAAAAAAATTTACATCAACAAATTAGGCATAGGGGAAGGGATGAGAAATCAAAGGATGCTCCCGGATATAGCTAGGAAGATACAGAAAAAAATGCATTCTCTGTTAAATGGAAGAATGCATCTCAGAAAATGATAAAAAGTAGGTTTTCTAGCCCCCAAAGAGAGAGAGCAAATACTGTATAATTTTGGGAGGATTATGCTTCACTAGAGACATACATCAATGTAATGAGCTAAAGAAAGGGTAAGACACTGCCTAAATTGATCTATACAACTGATTGTGCTACACTTGATAAATTGATTGTGTCGGTCTCTTCTCTACTTAAAATAAACTTAACAACTCTGAAACACAGTAAGTTGTTAAGCACAAAACATCACCACATACTCTGTCACACTACCCTCATTGTTTCAGAAACCTCGGAAGCACCTGACATTTACCTTTAGTTCTAACACCGCAATTGCAGAAATGTAATTAGGAAAACTCTGGTACTCATAACAGAAAAGGTCAGCAATGAGCAAGCTAAACCTGATAACATGCCTAATGTGCTGCCAAACATAACAGAATGCCTTCGTGATAATGTATGATTTTACAGACTGCCATGAAGTTGTTGCAAGATAATCAGATCACCAGGGGGCATGCCACTATGCGAAAGACACCCAAGAGATCATGAAATATTCTTTGATAGAGGTATATTGCAAAATCACCACTGACAGAAAAAATCTAGCATTATAAAAGACCATGTTTTCAGAAATAATCAGATAAATAAATTGGGCAGAAAACAGAAACGACAGAAGTTTCAAAATTTGGTAAGTGCAGAAGCCTTTACCTCATCAAAGGCAGTGCACTTTGTGCCTGCAGTCAACAACCAATACAACACCACCTCCGGGATGTAAAAGACAGTTTTTCTTTTTCTTTCTTGTAGTAATCAATGTAAGTAGAGGCTAGAGAGTTTAATTTTTCTGTTTGTCTTTAATACAGAAATACTCATGCAGCAGTACAGGCTCTGTGTCCTCATGCAAAGACCTCCTTACTTGTGCCACTAATCCTACGTAAACTAATAGTGAACTTTAAGAAAAATGGAAAGTAATCTAAGAGGTTCTTTTGATAAATGACATTTCATCAACAGTGCCAAAACATAGCTCATTACTGAAAGCTGAAAGTAGCACTTATTAGAAGTTTTCTGCCAAATACCTAAAGGCAGGTTAAACCTGTAACGAAAAATGTTTCTGAGACCTTATAAACACCAAAGGAACATGAATTTGTTATACCTGAATTCATCATCAGCAAATAAAATCTATATAATTCCCACATCTATTTACAGACTATAATTTATATTAGAATGTTTCATTTTATTTTGTCATCGTTATAAGAAGTTGCATTTTTTTAACAACCAGAGGAAAAAAAAGTACCGTCATGAACTACAGTAGAGTTTTTGCCTCTATATTCACTTAGGTTAAAATTGAAATTATAGAACTTACAATCTTCCAGGAATTCTTACATACATATCTGTGATAAGAGAACATAATGTTTTCAGACTGCTAGATCCATATTGCAAAGTTGTATTAAAGGCAAATTCTAGATTTGTATTCTAGTTTCTCCTATACCTGAGTTGTCTATTTCATGATTAATGTAAAAGCCAGCTATTCTTTTTATGTGACGCATATTGTTGCCTAATTAATTAAGGAAGATAAATCAACTGTAATTTAATATGAACCTTCCTATTTTTCAATTTTATTAGAAGAAGTATCAGGAACGTACGACATATATTTTTTAGGATTGACTGTAACGATAGGCCAGATGATGATCGGCTAACTTGTATCTTCCTAGCAGAAGGCTATAACTTGTGTGAAGAAAAGGATCTGATGTGTCTTTGGTGGTCTATAAAATACAAAACATACCTCCCTTGGAGGTATGTTATATGGAAATATGGTATTTCCATATTTTGCTTCATATATCCTCTTGTAACCAGCTTTATCTGAACAGTGTGTGCCTGAGGCGAGTATTTATAAAACAGTACCGACATACTGCAAAACACTTCTACAGGTGCTTGCTTTGCAAAAAGTTCACAACATAAGTGAATATATTCCGTTTAAATCGTATGAAGAGAGACATGCCAATAAAAGGAAGTAAACATGCTCCCCACAACTAGATGATAGCATCAATAAAAGTGCAATTATACTTCCAGCTTTTTCTTGCTGTTCTTTCAGTAATGATCATACGCAACTGACTGTATTTTCTTGAAATGCTACATATGCATAATGTGCACCAAAAACTTAATGAGAATGCACTCACCATGTACTATCAGAACATATTCTGTGCTGTTTCGGCCAATAGGATTTTTTGCTTCACATCGATATGTGCCATTGTCTGTTTTGTTTAGGAAACTGATGCTTAGGACCCTGCCGTTGACAACCATTCTCTCTGGATCTGGTAGTTCTCCACCATCCTTTGTCCACAGTACTGGTTCTGGCCTGTTGGATCCAAAGCAATGCATTTCATCAGATACATGAAGTATGTGTATGCAACACATAAATCGGAAACAGTAGCATCAGCAAGTCATGAATAGTATGTTGCCATCAAAGCATATCCAATGATCATTTGAGTTACTGGATATAATGAACTGTCACTATTACAACCTCACCATTTCAGATGGGAACTATTAAAGAAAGTGAAGGAGCAAGCAGGGAAAAGAAGAAAAACGGAAAAGGAAACAGAATGGAATGGGAACAGGCTAAGGTCTTCCCTAAATTAAAAACAAGTGCTCATCAGACTTCAAGGCCCACAGTTCAGCAAGGTGCTTGGCAAGCTAAGTGAAAACAGCTTTCCATTTGTGTGATGAGCAATATGGTCCTGTGCGGCTGACAGGCATCAGAAATCATGCAAGCAGGCTGAGGCGGATGTAAGTGGTTTGTAAACGGATCTTAAAATTATTTAGGCTATTCACATTCACAAGTGCACTTGCATGCGCTGAGTGTTTTTCCCGAACCAGGCATATCAGTCTCAAAGCAGCACATCTTACACACAATCTAAATTTGTTTCTGTTGTTGCATTGTGTCACAGCCCATCCCTTCTTCCGCCCTTTCTGCATCCTTCCCTCAAATAATTGCTTGTTACGCATGTTATCACAAGCAATATAATATTTGACTGAAAATCCTGGATTTCCTTCTTTTGTGAAACCCTTCCACTTGCGCCTCATGAACTCAGGTCAAGCAGGCCCAAGGCAAAGCACTGACGGCCATAACCCCCTAGGCCAGTTAAGGACACAGCAGAGAAGGGAACTGACCATCTTGCAGATGCCCACATACCTTTTTCCCAAAGACTCTCACGAAGCTCCACAGTTCATGAGATTTGCCCAACAGACAGCAGGATGTATTTATTACTGGTATGCAGCCTTTATTTATATGTAACAAGATCCACTTTCAAATTTACATGAGGAAAATCACCAAAAAGACAAGTCTGTGACTGGAAATGAAAAATTGACTTACTGAATCCTGACTATCTCACAAACAGATGGACATCTCAGGACCTTAGATACTGATCACTAAAGCAAGAAATATATAGCCTGGGGATTCACTGCTACATTACTTGTATCTGGTAGCTTTCTACACTATAACCCAAATATAAATCCTTTCCTTTTGGGTACACTACTTAAGTAGTGTAATTTCAGTCAGAAACAGTTTTAGCTTTGCACATTTATTTGGTAGGAGAATGTTACATTATATTTTCCTGTTGAAGTATGCAGTTGTATGACTAAGTTCTAAAACATAATATAAAATGCTGTTATAAAATCAGCAGATGCCAAATTAGTCTTACTCAAGAAATACTTAATTTCATTAATTTAAGCAGGTGTTTACAATCTATTAAATATAATAAGTGTTAAAAATAAGAATTAAACCTAAATACCTGAGAGACATTTTGCCAAAATGTAAATGCACAGAAAACAGTCCTAATGGCTGTAATGACATCATTTTCTTCTACGTTAGACAAGACATGTAAACAAAGGGAATTATTCTGAAACACACTTACTGCTATATAATTTATATTACTTTTTCAAGTAAAAATACTATAACTTGTGTTTCCCTTGAAAGATAACAGGTATTTATATACATTTTAGTAATATTTGGATGACAGCTTGTTAAATCATCATTGAATGTGTTAGCTAGACCATCTATTCTCTGAAGTTACAATTTTTTTAGAAAATCATATACGCAGGGAATGTAACATGATTCACATAATTTTAAACCAAGGATTAATAAGCGTTGCTGTAATGGGCCTTATTTATACCTTACTGCAAATATGTCTTAATACTCTTCCTAAATGCACTTTCAGGATCTGATATCTAAATACACAACACACAGTATACACACTTCTTTTCTGTTTAATGCGAGCAGGAAATCTAGATGTCCATGCTGTTGCAGAAACATTGCCCTACAGAGTTCACAACATTAAGGTGTGATTTTCTTTGACATGTTAAGGTGGATTTGTTCAATTTTCTAGCAAACTCCTCATTGTTCCCCATTTACCAGCTTACGGTGAATCTGTAATCCCAGGAGTAGGAACTCTGAAACACTTCTGCTACAATGTGCACCATACCAGAAATGGAATGTTAAAGCAACTTCTGTGCAGTGGTAATCTGTCGAATTTATGTTTTAAATTGAAATTAGATGGCATATCCTAGGGGAAAGCCCACAGGATAACAAATAGCTAAGAAATGGAGCCTGAGAGATAAATTGTTCAGGGAGCTTTGTCACACTGTAATACACCAACTCCAGTTACATAGAGAGTGATTAGCTATGGTTGCAAAACGATGGTGGCAGAAAAATCACGACTTAGGGAGAGGCAGATCTCATCAACCAAAGGTCTTGGGAGTCTGGGGAGGTCCCTGCTGACTGGAAGGTAGCCAATGTTATTCCAATTTACAGGGCATGAGGGAAGACCCAGTTAGTCTAACCTCAGATCCTGGAAAAATTATGGAGAAGATCATACCGGGTATTACTGAAAGGCATTTACAGAACAATGCAATCATCAGGCACCGTCAACATGGGTTCACAAAGGGAACGTCCTGTTTAACTAATTTAATATTCTTCTATGAGAAGGTCAGCCACCCAGTGGATGAAGGGAAGGCAGTGGATGCAGTTTTTCTGGATTTCAGTAAGGCTTTTGTTACTGTCCCTCACAGCATCCTTCTGGTGACACAGCACCCATCTGAACGGTGGGATAACAAGGTTCATGGTACACTGGGTGAAGAACTGGCTAAAGGGCAGAGCTCCAAGGGTTGTAGTGAATGAAGCTGCATCTGTCTGGAGACCAGTCACCAGTGGTGTTCCCCAGGGCTCAATTCTACGGCCAGTTCTGTTCAATAACATTTATCAATGATCTGGGTGCAGGAGTTGAATGCACCATTAGCAAGTTTGCTGATGACAGCAAACTGGGAGATGCTGCTGACTCTTTTGAGGTACAAAAGGTCTTGCAGAGGGATTTAGATAGATTGGAGCATTCGGCTATGATTAATCAGATGAAATTTAACAAGTTGAAATGCTGGATTCTGCACCTAGGACAGAGTAACACCAGGCACAAGTCGAAGGAGGAGTTGAATGCACCATTAGCAAGTTTGCTGATGACAGCAAACTGGGAGATGCTGCTGACTCTTTTGAGGTACAAAAGGTCTTGCAGAGGGATTTAGATAGATTGGAGCATTCGGCTATGATTAATCAGATGAAATTTAACAAGTTGAAATGCTGGATTCTGCACCTAGGACAGAGTAACACCAGGCACAAGTCGAAGGATGGGAGAGGAGTGGCTGGAGAGGAGCCCTGCAGAGAGGGCCCTGGGGGTGCTGGGTGGCAGCAGGCCCAGTATCACTCAGCAGCGTGCCCCGGCAGCCATGAGGGCAAAGCGCGTCCTGGGCTGCATCAAACACAGCACGGCCAGCCGGTCACGAGAGGCGATTATCCCGCTGTAATCCGCGGCGGTGCGGCCTTCCCTGCTGTGTGCAGTTCTGGGCCCCACAGTTTAGGAAGGTATTAAGGTCCTTGAATGCGTCCAGAGGAGGGTAACAAAGCTGGTGATAGGGCTGGAAGGCATGTCTTGTGAGGAGCAGCTAAGGACTTGGGTTTGTCTAGTTTGGAGAAAAGGATGCTGATGGGCAACCTCATCGCTCTCTACAGCTTCCTGAGGAGAAGGATTTGGAGAGGGAAGTACTGATCTCTTTTCCCTGGGATCCAGTGATAGGATGTGTGGGAATGGTTCAAAGCTGCACCAAGGGAGATTGAGACTGGACATTAGGAAGCATTTCTTTACCGAGAGGGTGTTCAAATCCTGGAACAGGCTTCCTGGAGAGGTTGTTGATGTCCCAAGCCCGTCAGTGTTTAAGAGGCATTTGGACAATGCCCTTAACATGCTTTAACTTTTGGTCAGCCCCGAAGTGGTCAGGCAGTTGGACTACATGATCATTGTAGGTCCCTTCCAACTGAAACACTGTATTCTATTCTACTCTAAAGATCTACATACTCTGGGTGTTGGGGAAGCTATTAACTAACAGTTAATATTAAGCCATTCTGTGCTGGCTTAGTGGCAGCGGCAGAGCAATTCCTGGGCAGCCAGCCTAAGGTCAACACATCATGGTGGCCAGGCACAGCTCTCGCTACATCTCACCACTCTCAGGGAGGACAGTGCCTAAAGCAGCAATTCTGTCACAGCCACAAAATTAAACTTTGCCTGCACTGCTGGGAAGCTTTGGGATGCTCTGGTCTACACAATCATTAGTTAGGCAGAAGTGAGTGAAGAACATAAGACATGCTCGTGCACCCAGGCCAGCATGCTGCTTTGGTCAGTGACAAGGAGAGTGAGTGGCTGTTTAGGGAAAGCATGTGAGTGTGGCCATTTTCTGTGGTTCATTCCCCCCATACTCTGCCAGCATCCACAATCATTCTATCAGGGATGTTGGATGGCACAAGTCTTGTTCTCTTTTACATCTACTTAGTATTTGGACCTGTTGCCTATGAACGTTTCTAATCCCTTTCTGAATCTGCTTATACTGTCAACCCAGCAATGAATTCTGGAAGTTCCCTACCTGCTGTACAAAAATGTATTTACATTTATCTGTCTTACATTGATCTCCAACCAGTGGCAATGAATATTGCAGGATATGGTAAGTAATGCTTCTGCATATTATAACCCTGTTATGATAATCTTGTATTCAATAGGCCTCTCTCCCCCTCTTTCTGTTTGTTTGAATTTGATACCTCCTGAGATTACTTACAGGGGAAAAAAGAAAAAAAAAACACAAGAAAAAAGAGCAAAGGAAGTGTAAATTTAGAGTACATTGGCTATTCCTTGATAAATGCCTTAGTACCTTCACTGTCCAAAGCATAAATGCAGCTGGAACACTGACGGGGAAGCTTGTTTTCTGTGACACAAGGCACAGAGAACTGTGAATTCCACATAGCTTATCCTACTGAAACATGTTCAT